GTATAAAATGAGCATTGAAACTCCCAAGGGACAACTGAGATCACTTTCTTGATCTGCTGAAGGATAAAACAGAAGCAGTACAGAAGACAAGCTTCAAAGTAAAAACCACAGAACATTTAAAATGCCCTGCCTGATGCACTTGAAGTCTCTCAGTGCAGCCCAGTAGAGTGGCATGTGTAAGCTACAGAACTTGGCAGTTCAATTCTGTTTGCATCTACCACAAGTTTGTTTTCATTTCTTCAGAACTTACCTATTTCCTACCCTCCTTCTAAAAACTCTCATACTCATCACACCCTCAATGAAATACTTTATACAAACAGCAAGAGGAGAGGGGATGAAAAACACACATAAGAAAATCACATTCTCTACACTCCAGACAATTATCTTTACAAGTGAAATGCCATTTTTGTCAAAAGAAATTCCCAATAACAGGAAAGCTTAAAACATTAAAGGTATTTTGAATATCCAAAAGATTCTGACTTCATGACATTTGCTAAACGGAAAAAACAGATGTGACAACAGCTGTGTTTTCTTCCAAGCAAATTTAAAAATGCATACTAGAGTTTTGAGATTACAGCAACTGATTTTTTGTTGCAAAGGACAGGAAAGAGTTTAATAAAAAGGCAAAACACATTCTTGGTTCACACTCACCATTTTCATCTCCAGCTCCCTTCCGACCATCCTCTGGGGAAACGTGCACCAGCTGCAGGATGAGGGGTCTGCGGGTGACAACTCCGGTCCCTCGTGGGAGCAGGTCCCTCCCCACAAGACTTTCCAACACAGAACTTTTTCCACTGCTCTGAAAAGTGGAATACAGCTACATTACTTTGTGAGACATGAAAATGCTGTGATGTTTTAGTTTGCTTTCATCTGTCTTGTTCTCTGCTACAGAGTGCCTGAAGGAGCACGTGAGAGACTCCCTGCAGACAGAGCAGTGCCACTGCACAGGCACTGAGGGACACAGCTCTGCCACAGGCCAGGAACTGCCTACACCTGCCTGGGATACTCACAACAGGTTTCCATCTACATGGTTTGTCCCAGGGTCTTTATCTCTTAAGGTCAAACCAAACTCTTAGTAGGTTTCAGAAAAATTAATCTCCTATTTAACATTTTCTACCACAAGCATCAAACTCTCCAGAAACATTTCTGGAAAAAAAAAGCTTTTCTTTACAATGCTCAGAAAGAAATCTGATGTCTTGTACTACGTCATGTTCTAACATCTTGAAGTAAAACTGCTGTGTAAACTGAGGAATTTAACCTTCAGGTAGCATTTGTTAGAATGAACAAGGGCTGGCTGTATTGACACCAGCAGCAGCCATTACACAAACATATATTAACTATGTATACCTGAGTACACAGGCTGCTACAATGTTATATCCTTTCACTTTGAGGTTTGGTTGCATGGGGGGGTTTGTTTGGGGTTTTTTTTGTTGGTTTTTGGGGTTTGTTTGGTTTGGTTTTGTGATTTGTTTTGTTTTTTTTAAAATCATATATTGTATCAGCTTGGTAAGTACAGACATTGTTTTATACCCTAAACACAGAAACAAACATTGTTTCATGGCATCCCGCACTCTCTCTCTCTCTCTCTATATATATTTAAGTATTTACATAACAACAAACGGTAAAAAGTTGGTTTTTACAGTTAAAACATTTTTTACAGTTAGAACATTTTAAATATAGGCTCTCAAAGAATACAGTTGTTTTTTACAGCCTTTTAAAAGGCAGTGTAATTACAAATATTCTTTGAAAGTCTACATTTAAAATGTTCTCCTGCAGAACTCCTGTATGAGATTCACAACCAGTCCAACAGCAGCTGTGAAAACCTGGGTTTTAAAAGTGATTCCAAATAAATACCATGTTAAAACGAACAATAAAAAATAGACACAGATATGCCAACATAATACTCAATCTGATTGAGAAGATTTTGTCTTTTTAATAACACTGTACTGAGCTCTTCCAATTTTCTGCATCTCTAAGTCTACATAGTGATGCCATGAGAAAACCTGCTCTGACAGTCATTGCCACCACCTAGGAAATATTTCTGTATTAATGCAAGTAGCAAACAATTCTCTTGTCAAAAAGCAAACAAACAAGAAAACAAAACCAAAAAAGGAAACCAACAGATGCTTCTGACAGCTGGAATGTGCATTATGTAACTGCTACAGAATCTCCACTCAGCCCACCAGTTCTGAAGTAACAGATTTGAGACTTCAAGGAAATTATGAGTATATAACCTAGCATAACATGATAAAAAAAACTGATGAATATCCTTAAATCTCACAAATTTAGTGACATTAAGTGACTTTTCTAAAACTGAAAAATAGATTAGAGGTCAAGCAACATGTTACTATCAGACAGTACATTTCTACTAGTGCAGTAAAACAAGACACAAATATATTATATGAAAGCTTAGAAACCTACTGAAAAAGAGCTTGTATGCAAAATGACAAAATAAATATTAAAATACAAGGCCAAACCCCTAGAAAGTTTGAACAGCAACAAATGAAGCCTTCTTTTATTGTACCACTTTATTGTATAGGCTTTATGGCCCAGAAAAAAAAGATGTTTTATCAAAAATATCATTTGTTTCAATAGGCAAATAATACACCAATGCAGATTATGTGTATTATTCAAAGTAAATCTCACATTTGACAGCAGTGAGATCAATGATCAATGGTTTAGAAATACTTGGAAAAAGAGCAGGGTCAAGCAGAAATGCAGCCTTTTTAAGATTTGTTTTTCCTTCAAAAGACTCCCCTAGAAAGTTATTAATAATTTTCTTCAACTGTCCTTCTCCAAATCAGCTTTGGGCACCTTCCCTGCAAGCAGCTTGTAACAGACCATTGGGCACTGAACTCTAACCAAAAAACTTAAGAACAACCTGACAAGAGCATGAACTAGGTCTGCAAGCCCCCCTGAGCAAGTTCCTGTTCTGGCCCACTTCTGAGGAACTACTGATATTATAGACTGTGAAAAAACAAACTTCACAGAGACAAATAACAAACACTTCTCAACAAACTTACTTAAAACAAGTGAAATGCCAAACCAAAAAAATGAGAGATGATAAAGGCTCATCTTTTGCATTGGAAAAAAATAAAAACAAAACAAAAAACAAATATCAGCGCTTCATTTATTAAAAATATTTCAAATATTAAGAGGCATCTGGATGTGTGGATGTGGCACTTGGGGATATGGCTTAGGGGTGATTGTTCGGGGTTGATGGTTGGACTTGATGATCTTGAAGGTCTCTTCCAGTCTTGAGGATTCTGTGGTCTCTTGAGCAAGATTTTCTTTGGCATGGGGAAAATGATGACTCAGTCTCACAAGTCAGTCTGGAGATCAGACTTAGATGAAATGGCTTCTCATGCACATATAATCCAAGCACATTAGGGATAGTAACAAATAGGAGGAATCCTTATCAACAACCTCACCATGAAAGGAAACCAAAATCCATGGGACAAGCTGCTGCACACTGCTGCTCTTCAGCCTTTCCAAAGGAGGGGGAATGCAGGAAGCTAAAATGGGCACCCCAAGCTCTGTACAGCAGCAAACCACTGTGCCTTACACCACTGCCAGCTACCTCTGGGTGGGGAAGGAACAATCTGGATCCTCTGCAAACACACTAAATGAAACATTGCAGTGCTCCCTGCATCAGGAAATTCTTGCAAATTGCATTACACTCCCAACTAAAGCAATCTGCTGCTGGAATACAATTATCTAATGACGCACTTCTTAATCTGGACTCCTCAGCATCCATTACCAAGAGTTGTCTGGGAACACGGGGCAGAAAGCAGCAAACACAAAGCTGATCTTGTTCTGCCAGTGAGGGGGAAGCAAGGGATGTGGGTCTGCTAAGAACACAAAGTCACTTCAGCCAGTCCTTCACAGAACAGATGTAGACAGACACTAACACTGATAACCAAAGGGATTTTAAGGAACAAGTCAGCAGAAATACCACACTTGTTTTGTCATTTCATTAAAATGCTTGTCGCAATTTTAAGCATGAACTGAAATAAATTCATTTCATGATGGGTCAAAAAAAAAATTAATAAACTAACTTTTCACAGGCACTCGGGCAGATATTCCCTCTGGACACCAATATCTGATCCTAATTTGAAATATCTGCTTGTTGTGATATCTAGAGGAACTTAATAGAGGCTGCTCAGACAAAAAGGAGGGGGGCAAAACACAGGAACATCTTGTGTCACTCCTTTAACTTTTGTGTCAAACTACCATGGCTGAGTATTGCACTCTGCTCTGCCATCCACCATTTATTTCACAGAGAAACACCAGTGTCTGGTGGATGGTAAAACCATTTGTCCCCAAAGTACTAAGAGAAATAGAGATGATGCACACAGGACTTCAGTATTTTACATTCTATGTACAGTCAGAGTGTATTGAAACCTTACCAGCACTCTCACTGCCTCTGTAACACCTGTTACAAACACCTCTGTATGTTCATCTTTGGTTTAGATTAACCTGAAGATGATGCTGACAATCAAGGATGAAGGGCAGTCACTGGGAAACAATTGTGCACTTACCCTCCCAAACTAAAAAGCTGTGAGCTGTAAGAATTGTGATCACTCCAAATAACCAGCACCTCTACTTTTAAGTCCTCATGGGGTTGCTTTGCTTCCCATCCTTCATTTCATCTTTACTTATCCCTGCATGTTTCAGCCGTGCACACTTAAGTATCAAAAGACATTTGCTCCCATCCATTACATTAATTCTTAAGAGAAAATGTGGATTACAATCTGCTGCATTACAAACCACAATTTTAGGAATTCAGAACACAGCACACAACAAGTGCATGATTTTATAATTGTCCAGCTTCATTAACAGCCAGAGATGTTACTTCCAAAAACACTTCAGGGCTGTTGACAAGTCAGATGGAAGAGACTCCATCTCGAAAATGCTGAAGTAACACTCTGAACAGCCATTCAAATTCACCCCATCCCATTTACTTCATTGGCTTTCTTACTCTATTTCCAAATCCTCATTAGTGTTGCTATTTTAGGAGTCGTGTTCCTTACACCAAACAGAATGCAAAGATGTTTTCTCCATATCAAAAAAACCCCTCTGACCCAATCCTCTTGCAGCACTGAGTTATTCTCCATTTTTAAACCCTGTCTAAAGGGACAAAGGCCTAGAAGACCCTAGAAGGGCAAAGAAAGGATCCAGCACCTCAGCCTTGTCCATATGCACTGTCCCTGGATCACCTGTCACAGACAGCAGCAAGCCTTTATTTCCCTATTTCTCTTTTTCCTCAACTCCTGATCCAGTGCTGGAAGTTCCTGCTGCCTTTGATGCCCTTATCACTAACAGTGGCTTTCTCAATACCATCTCTGCCCATGCGGGCAGGATTTTTATATCCCTGAGCAAGCCTGTCCTTGTTTCCTCCTCCTGCACGAGTGTGCTGTGCTGAGGCTGAGTCATGAGTTCCCTCAATTCTGCTCTCCTTAAACCTCCACTCGTTTTCCCAAGCAAGTGGAAGGACTATTGCTTTGTGCTCCATGGGGCTGTCCTTAAAGGAAGGCCAGGTCCCTTGTGATTCACTGTCCTTCAGCTCACAGGGTCTCACCAATTAGCTCAGTAAATAAGCAAAGTCTGCTCTTACTCTTATGAAGTCCATGAAGCAAGCAGGCAAATTAACACAAGGCTCACCTGGAGTCCCACTGATGCACAAGAACCATCAAATTTCTCACAGTCACTTCCTTGGACTGGTGACTGTTGTGTATTTCAAGTACTGTTAAAATGATAATGGACTTGAATCTGCTGCAACCAACTTCAAGTCATCTTACAAGAATCTCCTGCCTTCCTTTGTCTATCTCTAGACTTCATAAAGTCTTTGTCTTCCACATCTGTGGGGAAAAAGCCTTGTTGAGGAAACATGTCCAATAAACTACTGAAAAACTTCCAAACCAAAAATTAGTTGAAAGGAGTGTAAAATTTAGCTCATTGCTTTTGAACAGGGCAAACTGATAAGTTTTTTTACTATTTCATGCAATAGTGAAAAAAATGCAAAGAACTCATGCAACACAACACAGACTTTTTATAGGAGAGCACAAGAAAATAGAGGCAGTGATGTCAGAATTCCCTGACTTTTGGAGTGGCACAATACACACATTCAAGTAAGGAGCTGTGAAGAAAGAGAAACTTCTCAATGAGACATACCAACTCCTGAGGAGCTCTCTATTAAGGAAAGCAATGCATCTGGGATGGAATGGTGGCAGTGCTGCAGCTTCTGCCATACAAGTACAAAATTCCTGCTGGTAAATCCTGCCCTTGGCAATCTGTACACACAGAGTTTCCTAAATTTTCACTCTATCATTGGGAAATACAAGCTAATAAAAGCACTTGTGCTGGGATGTCATCCACACACTGGTGCTTTAAAAAGTTATTTGCAGTAGCCATTTTGGAAGAGTTCAGCCTGCTATAACTAAAGAACAACAGTATTTCTTTTACTTTCCTTATTTAGCAAATACAAATTATTCTGGAATAAAAAGCGAGTACACATGTAGTTTCACAGCAGTTCCACAAAGGAACTGCTTTAGCTGGAACAGATAACAATTTTCCTATTCAAACTAGGAATGCCCCAAGCTAGGCTGGCTCTAACCAGCTAACAAATTTAAAAATTTATTTACTAATCAAAAAAGAATGCTAAAGCTATAAGCAGGCCAAATGGACTATTTTAAGACATTGTTTGAAACAAAATAACACTTCTAAAAGATGCAGAAGAAACAACAGGCTGATCCCATCTTGAGGAAGCAGTAAAACCAGCAGAATGCACTGCTCATTGTTGCAAAATACATGCAAGATCTTGTCCAGACTACAAGACTCTTGTTCCTGCAGGGCATTCCTCATTTACTTCAATAAAGCTCTCCTGAGTCAGTCATGGAGAGATGCAAAGTCACAGCAACTACTCCACATAAAGCAGCTCATGTAGCAGCAGTAAAGAACAGGCACAGGTCACTCCAAACTCTTCAGAAATCCTGCATTTACACCACATCTAACTGCAGACAAGTGCCAAACAGCAAATACAGCAATGATTAGCAGATGTTTTCTTCCTCAGTACATCAATTCCCAAAGCCCTCCAATAATTCACTTAAGAAAAAAAAATGCCTCATCTAAGTAGAAAAAGTTCCAGGCTCTCAGTTAGATCATGGAACTGTGGTATTTGAAGATTCACATTTGCAAGCCAGATATCCTGACCTCACACAGTACTGTGGATACTGCTATATTCATGACTTGCAGTAAAGTAAATCAAACCAAAACAAACCTGCATATTCAAATTTTAAAAGTTCTAAACAACAGTATTATTAAAACAAACCCAAACCCCAAATCTTTAAGTTAGTCAACCTTCTGGCTACTACACAAACAAATATTTTCCAAGAACTACACAGGCATTTTCTCTCCAGATTGTGAAAATGAAATGCCTGTGCTTTTTAATTCTCTTCCCCTCCATCTTCCTGAAAATATGTTTTCTTTGCACTGTGCCCCCTGGACAACACACAAGATTCACCTGGTCTAATTAAAACACCAGTTTTCCAAGAAAATCAACTGCCACTCACAAGATGAACAGAACAGGGCCCTTGCACTAAAGCATCAAAACAAAACAAAGCACACAAACAAAACAAGAAAAGGGAAGCACAAGACTTCTTTATCCACATCCTCCTACAACTGTGAATTCTGTGCAGACTCTCCACTCTTCCAAAATAACCAAGCATTTGCAAACAATGAAATTAATTATCTTGTAAATGGTGTTTAATAATGTTCTCAGATTAAGAATCATAAAATGCAGGATCAAGTTATTAGATCTGTAGTTTTATTTTAAGTCACATGAAGTCTACAGATAAAAACAGTGAAAATGCCATCCTTTCAATCACAGAAACCTTCAGCACCCAAAAAGTTCAGCTGTTCAGAAACACAGGGAGCCCATCAGAGAAAAGAAACAGCACAACACTAAATGTTGTTTGCACTGTATCACATCAGCAGTAACATTTATATTATGTCTGGTAAATGCAAATAGCTAATTAATGTCAGCCTGACTTTGCTGCCTGTCTGAAACAAACACAACAGTCAGGGCATGACTTGACAGGAGCAAAGGATGGCAAAAAAAGGAAAACAGTTACACCCAAAACCAGGGACTGTAAATGTCAGATGTGAAAACAAAGAAAAAAAACCCAAATGAAATCAGGAAGTTTGCAAAACATCTGGGAGAAAAAACAGTCCCCAGCCAGCGTGGAAGCAATGCTCTGGTTACATTCTCTATTCCAATGTAGATACAAATGGGGTTTTGCATCTGCTTGAATTGCTTGAAAGATCCTTGCACAAAACAACAAAAACAAAACCCACCCAGCAAGAGAGGAGGGAGAAGACACAGCTGTGCCTGGCATGGGGTTTTCCTCCTTGCTTGGTCCAAACTGGAGTTTCCTTCACCTCACCCTGGCTTTTTGCCAGCACTGAATGAGGCTACACTGAATGAGCTAAGTGGTTTGAATTTTTGCTCCCCTGCCAGGGAGAGGCACAGCAGCTCTGCAGAACACCTCAAGCTCCAGCCAAAGGTGCCAGTCTCTCTCAGACAGGATGCTCTGATAGCATCTGCTGGATTCATCTCCTCATCCCACTAGCCAGGACTGTACATCACCTTCCCATTGCTGTCAACTTCTAACAGCCAAATCAGCATCCTTCCAACTATTCCTCTTACCAGGACATAAATTTATACAAATCCACGTGCTCAGGCTGTGACCTCAGGATCAAGAAACCTTCCACCTTGCAATAAAAAGTGGTTTAGCATTAGCATCAAACATACATACATCAAACAGCAAAAAAAAAAGAATAAATGTAATGCTCATCTGTGAGCCAATCCCAAGGGAACATCCAAGAGAATGGATTTATTCATTAATAAATACTGTAAACTACACCTCCCCATTTAGTCTCAAAATGGCACTGAGCAAAAGTGCTCCATAAATGTACACATGAAAGGTCACTCCAAAATCTCACCTGTCAATTCCATCACTTGCTACATCAATTTCACTGCAATATCTCCACTTCAAACTACCAAGTGCAAATAAAGCCTACAAGGTGTTTTTATAATGTTAGTATTAGAAGAATTTTGCTACAAAGCTGACACTAAAGTTTGTATAAAACTAGGCTGATGACTACTAAAAAACCTAAACATATTCCAGGAATTAATGGCCCAAAAAATAAAGACAATTCATTTTTACCTATTTCTAGGTAGATATTTTGTTGTCTGACTGATTTTCTTGACTTTATTCTAAATCTTATGATCACTTTGGTAGTGTAGGCATTTCATTTTTGTGATACCACCTATCCACACAAAAGGCCATAATTAACCAAATCACTTTTCATTCCCTTGCCTCCTTTACTGTAGTTTTAATGTGTTTAGTTGAGGCACTTCAATACCACCTTGTTATCCCTTAAAATACAGAACATAAAGCATTTGTATAAACCAGAACACTGAGTGTTACAACATTACTGAATTCATATTTTTATATCATATCCCTAACCTGGACACTTTTTTTTTTTTTTTTTGCAATTCAGTCATACAGTTCTAAAAATGGAACTGGAATACTGAATTGGGGAAAAAATAGAACACCTACCTGGAAATGGCAGAAAAACCCTGAAACACTGAAGAAAAATTGGCAGTCTGAAGGTGTCCTCTGAGTTCTACCAGCACAGTCCCCAGTTTTCTTAAATGACCCTGTACTAGGACACAGAAATAACTTACACAATATTTATGGGGAGAATGAGAAGGAATTCTCATTTGACTGAATGGCAGGAAAACCACTACAAGTGCAAGAGGCCACCTAGATGTGCAAAATTTACTGAGAAACAATTCACAATTAACAGCAAAATGTATCTAGAAAGAGGAAAAATTAAAACATTTCAATTGCTCAGGGCACAAGGGAGGTAGGAAACAAATCCCAAACAACAGAGGTGGGGGAAAGGGAACATGAGAAATAGAATTAAGGCTTATAAACAACTTCTAGTCCTAAATACTCTAGAAAATAAAGAATCAACTTAATGCACAGAATGAGAAGCAGAGAAAGACACAAGCACAAAAAAACAAAAGGGTAGAGAAGAGAGAGAAAAATAAACAGAAAACTACTTCAAAAAGTATTTTTCCTCTCCTTGCTGAATATGTAAAAAGGTCATTTAAAAAAAGCAAGTGGCAAATTGAAAGCAAAAAAGCATAACTCAATTAACAGAATTACAGAAACCTGAAATGGCAGCATTTGCTTCCGACAAGAAAAAAGGAGGTGAAAAATTCCAGACTGCTTATTGTGAATATTATTCACAGACAAAAAAGCAAAGACAGCATATGCCAGTGGGCTACAGATACATCAGCTGTGTGAACAAACTTAAAGGCCACACCACACTTCACAAAGAAACAACACTGTCTAAAAGGCACATGTAAAAAAAAAGGAAAAAAGCTACCAACATCAAAAATATCAGCTCTAATGCCATATCTGACATATCTCTAGAAATCTGGTCTCCAATAAGCTAACTCCAAATTGATAGATTAATAATATTTTATTTAAACTAAACTAATTGCATAAAATTACCATCTATGGAAACATCATGTCAGTAAAGACAATTATTTCTTCCAACAACCCTGACTAAAACAAAACCACCCCAAAATACAGCTTGCTAGATATTTTGCTAGATATTTTTCTGGAGTCCATAGAGGACTTTGTTTTGGCATGACAGGAAATGTCACGCTAATTCAAGGGGGCTCAAAAATATCATGGATACAGCACTGAATAGATATTGATACTGATGGGGAGACTAATGAAGGCAAACATGTCAATGCTGTTATAACTCTCAGTCCTTACTTATGGAAAGTATTTACACCTAGGTAAAGATAACTGGGACAGAGTTGTTGAAAAGTGGTTTTAAAAAATGCCACTTCATGAAGTGAAACTGGAAAAAATACTCTTCTAATCTTACATAGAAAAATGCCGTTGCATTTACACATACAGCTGGTGTTTTAAGTTATCAATAAAAATCCTGAGCACAGAGTACTTGGCATTGAAGTCTTTGGTGAGCAAGCTACTGCCAAGGAGCACAGCCCATTGAACACACATTTAAATTTCACAGAAACAAAACGAGAGATCCATTAGCTTCAAATCTTAGCTTCATCTGCTACTCCCTTGTGACCGCTGCAGCTCTGGTCAGGCATATTCAGCTGCCCAAAGTTCTGGTGTAGAGCAGCATCCCATTTGAAGAGATAGGAGCGGCCGTGAGCTATCTCGGAGCGCAGCAGCATTACCAGCTCACACGCACGTGTTGCAACTGTTGCAGCCAACAGCCGCCGGCCTCGCCTCTCACCTCCACCCCCGTCACCAGCTCAGACAAAGCGTCCGAACGGCACAAGAAGGAAAGGACATCCATTCATGCCCGCACGATGCCGTCCCGCTAGCACATCCCTTCTGTTCGCCTCGCTGCCCAAGAAGGGAAGCCACGGACCTGGTGCGATGGCGGTCACGCTGACGCACCGGGGCGGCCGCCGCTCCCCGGCTCCCCGACACCGCCCGCATCCCCTCGCTGGTTCGGGAGCACCGGCCCTGCCCGCAGCCCCACGGAGCTCCTGGGTGGCTCCGGAGCTGCGCCCAAGGGCAGCGGGCGGGCGGCGCTCCCAGCGCAGCCGGGGCTGAGGCAGCGGAGCCGCCGAGGGCGTGCGGGGGGAACGCGGGCACCGAGGGCGCCCCGCCCGCTCTCGCCCGCCGCGTCCCCCCGTGCCCTTGGCGGAGGCAGCCGCGGCTCGGCGGCGGCGGAAGCGCCACGGACACCCCGAGCTCGCCCTCGGGGCGGGGAACGCCCGCGCCCCCGGCCCGGCCCGGCCCGCCTCACCTGCGTGCCCACCACGACGATCTGCGGCAGCTGGATGATGTCGGCCCCCACCGTGTTGAACACGTCCTGCAGCTTGTTGATGACGGGGATCAGCGCCTCCATAGCGGCGGGCGAAGGGACGGGCCGGGCGAGGCGTCGGCGGGCGATGGACGCGACGGGCACCGGCGGCTCCCTCAGCCGCCCCCTGCGCCTGCCGCCATCGGCGCCGGCCCCCGCGCACGGCCCGGCCCCCGGCAGCCCCTGCGCGCCCGCCGCGCGCACCGGCGCCGCCGCCGTGCACCATGGGAGTTGTAGGCCTTGGGGCTGAGGGGCCCCGCCCTGCTCGGACAGCGCCAGTTTTGTATCACAAAAACTGCCCGGTTTTATTACACAGAATCACAGAATCAGAGAGGCTGGAAAAGAGCTCTGGGGTACTTGGGTCCAGCCCGTGGTTGAACACCCGCATGTCAACCAGACCGAGGCACTGAGTGCCACCTCCAGTCCTTCCTCAAACACTCCCAGGGACGGTGGCTCCAGCACCTCCCATTCCAACGCACAATCACTCCTTCTGTGAACAAATTCTTCCTAATGTGAAAAATGCATATTATATGCCTTTACGCAGATATTTACTATATTGTGTTGTATTGATTAGTAGTGCTGTATTAACATTTTAATAGTATGGTAAATGTAGTTTTGTAATTTGTAGTTTTGTAGTTAAAATGGAACTTTTGTACTTAAAATAGAACCTATGTATGAGGGATATTTTTTTAAAGAAAAGAATAAGGTACTCGCACCAGACAGTACCCACAGGACGCCGAAATCTTTCAGAGAATGAGAATTTATTGCTCCATTATCAGAAGAAATGGACTTTTTACTGCCTTGCTCAGCCATGAAGACGCTGTAAGGATTAAGAGGAAGAAGTTGACACTGACCACACAGAATCCTGTGTTTGAATGGAATTTATGCATCATGTATGAGGTGTATAAATATGCAACAGGCTATTGCTTTTAACACCTCGTTAACGTGTGTCCTCTTTTGGGCTTATTTTGCCCAGAAAGAGGCACCTGGACTGTCCATAACTCTTGGTTTTTATTGTCTCATATTGTCCTAACCTAATTGTTCAAATTCTTATTACTCCAATTATATTACTATTTTCATAACCATTTTATTACTATTAAACTTTTAAAAATTTAAAAACAAGTGATTGGCGTTTTTCACAAGGTATAATGGAGGTAATTTCTGGGGAAGAACAGAATTGGAGATCTGCTCCCACAAACTGCACAGTGAAAGGAATATTATTACATTTCTGTTCACATATTGAGGATTGCAATAGACATATGTGGAACAGCTATATTTATTCTGTTTGCTTTCTTGGGGATGTGTTTTGTTTTGCTGTGAGGCTCTTGGATAATCATGTGAAATTCTGTAACCTAGATGTGTAATAATAGGTTAGGTTGAGGTGTCTTAGGAAGTGGGAAACTGTGTGAGATCTAATACTCAGCTGCGTTATAAAAAGAGATAGAATGAAACCAGAGCATGACTTGTGATGCGAGATCACAACAAATAAGCTGTCTCATCTTCAAATGTCTTTCCTTTGAGTGGATTTTCTGAAAGATAAATTATGAATATGCTGGCACTGAGTTAATTTGGACTTTGTTCTTTCTTGTGAGCAACAGAGTAAAAAGGCTTCTGAAATTTTCAAGTTTTGAATGGCATTAGAATTCTTATTCTTGTTCTGTACAAATTAGTCTTTTGCAGTCTTCCTGTCTTGAAACACTCAAATGTCAATGGAAAGAACAAGGATATGTGTTCTTATTTGTACATCTTTTCAACAAAGTTTCTCATTCTTGGCTGAGGAATTTCACACTGTTCGTCACAGGGATAATATTTTTTTGTGCTAAAAGCATAAAGATGGCTAAGCAAATTGAAACACTTCAAAATTCAGTGTATTCAGCACAGAGGGAAAGAGCTAATGCATGTAAAATTTTGGGAAGAAGGTCCTGAATTACTGGTGAGGGCTTCCTGTCACACAAACATTATCCAGTGATTTCACTCATTAGCTCTCAGCATGCTGATGGCTCCCAGAGATCATTAATACCAAAAAGTCATTTGGCATCCACCTCTCCAGCTTGCAGGACAAAAGGAAGTGTTACTCTGACACAGCAAATAATCTTTTTAAAAGATTAGCTGTTCCCTGTCAAGGCTGATCTCCTCTCCTTCCTTGAGGAAAGGAAAGGAAAGGAAAGGAAAGGAAAGGAAAGGAAAGGAAAGGAAAGGAAAGGAAAGGAAAGGAAAGGAAAGGAAAGGAAAGGAAAGGAAAAAGGAAAAAAGCATCCCATTTGCACAGAACAAGAAGCTGCTGGCTCCCAGTGAAGTGGATAACACCAGCTTATTTTTTGATGCAAATCTCTTTTCTCCTACCAGTTTTATTTTGCTATATGACCTCATGGACACCCCTGTGAAATGGAGAAAGTAAAACCTGGTTTATGTCTTAATTTAGACCAGAAGTGGGACATCTCAGCAAGAGTGTAAAACTGGAAGAGAGTCATAGAGGAACAACAAGGATGATGAAAGGTGTGGAACAGCTTCTATGTCAAGACCAACTAAGAAAACCAGGAGCCTTCCCTCCAGGAAAAAATGGCACAAGGTAGCAAGGACCAGAGGTCTGTGTAACCATCAGCAACCTGGAGTGGGTGAAAGAGAATCAGGTTTCTTTACTCTCCCTTCCAGCTGAGAGATTTTGGGAATCTAAAGAAAATAAGAGCCAGCTCAGAACAAAACAGACTAGCCCCACACGGGTGCTTTGGTGACATTTTGAGCCCCTTGTCAAAGGATGCTGAAGACAGTAAAACTTTAAATTGGTTCAGATGTTGCATGGGTTAGATTAAGCAGGAGAAATGCATTGCATGTATAGAAGCAGCCCTGTAGGGATCAGATCTAGCTGGGGCTGTTTCTGAGCTGGCAGTGTTTGGGAGCTGGGGAACAGCATGAGAAGCTGTGTGTGCTCTCACCCACTAGCCTGCCCCACTGTGGCTATTCTTAGAATTTTATCAGTGTAATATTTCAAGGAGCACACAGAGGAAATATCAGTTGCTGAATCAAGCTGAGAGAAGCCAGCTTGCCCAGCAGAGATGTTGAAAGGCCTGTCAAGGGCTGG